ATGCGTTACAGTACTATTACATTCAAATTTGATATTCAGTAGTGGTACAATGATTTTATTAGCCATATTTTATAATATTTCTGATTTAAGAATCGGGAAAAAAAAGGATTTGTCTCAAATGTATAATACATCATGACAACTGTTTTCCACTCATGAATTTGTAAGCCGTTAGACCCCATTGAACGTTCATCAGAAATGGTCTTTGAAAACCTTGCAAGATCTTTGGTATAACTGTTGACGAATTTGTTTAAAGAATCGAGAAGTTCTGTATAAACGTCTTTAGCCATCTCTTCATAATCATTTCTACAAAAAATATTGTCACACTTTGCCAGGCAATTGTGGGTAATACTCGTCTTTGGTTCTTATGCCCTTGTTGTTGGCATTTAAAGGGTTGATGGTTCTTTTGTCATACTTCTTGTTAGTCTAGTAGATGAATACTTTGGTGTGCAGCCATTGTTTAAACAAATTTGATCTTTTTCAAATAGGATTTTCTTTTCTTAAGACAAATATTAAGTCTAGTTTCAAGTTTTTTACAAAACTGATTAGTTTTGTTGACTGTTGAAATTTTAAAGCCGGCAAGCCTGTCTTTTCTGTCGATTTCTTTTCTTAAAAGCTTACTTAAATTTCACATTTTCAAACGATTTGATATTTGCGATGCTAAATTACAAATTCTGAATCCCGATTTTGAAATAAATTTCTCAATACATTGTATGTTAAAATCTTTATTCTTTACTAAATCAGCTAGTTTGTTATTCGTAGAGTCAGTGAAAAGTTGTACCTTTTCATGAATTCTACTAATAATACGAGTAAGACTGTTCAGCAAACACATTCCAATACGAACAGGAACTTGTAAGAAAAATATCTTCTTGAATATCTCATTCTGGCTACTCTTTCTGCTGAATTTGAATTGTATTTCATCGCTGAGTTTCTCAAGTTCATCTGTGTCATGGACATTGTCGTCTTTTGCTTTCACAAGGTAGACTATATTTTCAGGGCGATCTGTGGTGTCGTTTACAATATCTAACAACGTAATGTCCTACAATATATTTAAAGATATTATTTTAGAAACGAAGCTGCTGTACATGAAAGGCATTAAAAACATAGTCTAGCTCAGGATATGTATTGTGATAGCAAATAAGCTGACATATGGTTAAAGGGTGGGGACCTTACTTGATACATCTAAAATATATTCAAACCCAGTCCATACAGCTTATATTAACCTGCCTAAACTGTATTTACCTTCACACCATATATAATGTTGATGAAAGTTTTTCTCCTTCATCTAAAAATAAGAAGATGTGGTATGATAGCCAATGAGACAATGTATGCAAAGACAACATACGTTTGAAAAAAAATTGACTGATTCAGCATGCTATATATTGAAGTTATACAAAACACTGTATAACCTTATTTGATATAGCGAACACTATTTACCATCTCAGAAGGTGAAATTAATCTGTGAAGTGTTGGCAAAATTAACCAATTTCAGTCCATTCTTAAATTTTTATGGAATAGAAACCATTATTCACTTAAACATCAAATGGTCCTAATGCCATTGCTTATTCATAAGTTAGTTGTACGGGGAGCCCTTTGATTTATTTATGATAGAAAGCGATAATGCCAGTCTTTGACCTCGTATAGATAATTCTTACATTTGTTATTAATCCTCTATTTTGATTTAATGAATTGCAAACCTTAGCGGATTGAGTGAACTGCTTTATCCTCATATCCGAAGTAGCAGCTGTAAACATTTCTATTTATTTACGATATGTCTTGCGTATATTGCAATGAATGTTATATAAGAGACTAATCAGTTATAGAATTTGGTAATGGGTTCGTGTCTATAAAAAACCAATATAACAATATACTGGCTTAATCAATCGCATCATACTTCCAAACGTATGTATTCAAAGGCAAATCATTCAATAGAACATAGCCCGATCTTGTCAATAATATCTGAATAAGACCAAACATATTTTGCACAAGACGGCAAATTCAAAGACAAGGAAACCCTAAAGAAACACATAAAATAATCAAATGAACCCGTTATCTCGGTTTCCAAATCCATTATCTCGTTTTTCCAAACCGTGATCTCGGATAACCAATCCGCTATCTAAATGTCTCAATCCGTAATGCCCCCTTCACATACACGGATTTTTATAACGAGTCCGTACGGATCGCCCAAATTCACGGATCCTTTCGATTTGGCCACTTTTACGACCAATTGAAGAGTTGTTACAAGTTATTACGAGCATTTTACGTGTAGTTATGAGTATTTTACGGATAGATACTTACACTTTACGTATTCTTACGTTTTGTTTACGATTTGGGAAAAGCTACAAAAGCTGCAAAATCGTAAGGACTCGTAAAAACTATTTAGTAAGTATTCGTAACAACAAGTAAACAGGTTGTAATTAACGCATGAATACTAATATTCCGTAAAATACTCACAACAATCCGTTATAAGCTCGTAAAATGCCCGTAAGTTGCACGTATTTATCTGTTACAACTCGTAACAAATCGTGGATTTTTGCCGTAGATGCATCTATTAATAACTCGGGACAACTCTTAAGTCAGTCGTAAAAGAGGCCAGATCGTAAGGATCCGTGAATTTTTGCGATCCCTTAGGACTTTTAACGGTGTATGTGAAGGGGGCATTATCTCTGATTATTGACCCGTTATTTTGATATTTCGATCCGTTATATCGGTTAAAGGATCCGTTATCTCGGATGAGATATCCTTCCTATAAAAGTTTTTAGTACTAAATACGGACTTTAATGCAAAATCTTAACCAATTTTAGTGACTCATGCATTAAATGTAGGTCACGGCAACTTTACTTTCGTATTGATCTCGTTATTTTTCAAGACACATCCACTGAACAAATATCATTCCTCAATGCCTTGTAGTTGTTTTGATCTGAACATTAAACATTAAAAAGCAAAACAACCAAAGTCACTCATGAGTAAAATGTAGGTCAAGGTGTCTTAATTTTGTTATGGACCTTAACTCCAAGATTAACCGGGGACGAACGTTCAACCGGACAAATATACGAACTGACCAAACATTATATCCCTTCTCAATTATGTTGTACGAGGGGATAATTAAATCAATCCCGAAAAAAATACGAGGTAAATCGTAGGTGCTCTGTGCCATTTTCTCTAATTATATGACTATTTAATGGAGAAGCCATTCTCTTGTATTGTATGCGTTTGATCACATTGCTGTAAAGTTTCACCCATCCAGTAACAATCAGCGACCACAACTTTTGAACAGTGTGCGTGATATCAACTAATAGAAAGGTCATTTTGTATTTAGTTTTCTTTCGCATTCTTGTAAATTTTCTTTTTATTTCCTCAAGTGATTCTCTATTTATCAACCCGTAACCAAAATGTCACCAATTTCAAATTTATCAAGGTCCATTACTACAGGACAAGTGCTAATCAACGAAAATCAAACCAAAACAGTTTTTAGTGGTCATCAACATTGCGATAAAATGTCTAAGCAATCCGTCAAAAGGTTCTCTTTTTATCATTGGAAAACCAAAATTTCATGCATTTTCAAGTCTATCCAGAGCCATAACTCTGGGACGATAAAAGTGAAATTAACCAGTGAAATCGATCCCAAACTGTATTAGTAGCCCATGCAATTCAGGAAAAAAAATGTGCAACAGACACGGACGGACATGAAATTAATCATATACCGCAACCATATTGGGCGATGGTAAAACGAAATTTTTAGAAGACCTTCACTTCATCTTTCCACCAAAGTTACATTTTATCTGTAATAATAGTTTCAAAAAAGACTTCTAAATTTCGACCAATCAGAAATAGCTATTTTCTGTGGATGCCATAAAGTCGGCGCGTCAGTACAAATAATAGAAAGTTTGTACAGGACATCTCAGCCAATTACAGACAAGTGTGCATATGACGGCCATATAAGATTAAGATCACCTTTCAAGCCAAATGAAATATTTTTTTCTGCTATGGCCTTTTTTCGTTATGTGTATATTACACACACAACATTTGGGCTTCATTGCTATATAATCAATTCTCGTGTTATTGGTTATGTACAAGCACCTACTTCAGTTTGACGGCAATTGTTTCTTGCACATATATTATAAATGTAAATACAGGAATAGGAAGTAAGTCAAGAGTATGGATAGTAAAACGAACGCACACAATAAGCAACACATTAATTTTTTTCTTTAATGAAATGATATATAGTCAAAATGATCCATAATGACACTATGAATTAAACAAACATCCGGAAAAAAAACTGATAGAAACATTACAATGTAATATTGCAACACAAAAAATCTGCATGAGATTTGAACCCCTTCTTAAACACAATCTATCACTAACAGTTCTATGCGCTACCGATGGAGCCACGGCGACTCTTGGAGACAACTTTGTTATTAAGCAGCTATATAGGTACACTTTAGTGTTGTTCCACTTTTTTTATTAAAAAAGTTGATTTTTAGGTATTAAGGACACACTAAACCAATTTCATTTTTGAGGACAAAAGTTGTATAAATAACAAAAAACATAACTTTGTTTTGGTTTGAAATGTCCTTCTCGGGGGATTCCCTGTTTTTCCCACCTAAAAACACGGTAAATTCCGCTTATTTTACTTTCATCTTTTTTGGGGGGTTAAATTAACTATTTTTCAGACATATCATAATATATAAAAATCGAGATATTGATCAAAAAACATTTTTATTTCTTGTTTTTATCGTAAGTTGTATTCTTTCAGCACTTTTTGAAATTGGCCCTTCTGTGAAAAAAATCAGGGGGAATCGGCCTCACCTCTTTCCAATTGATTATATCCCAAAAAACAAGGACACACACCTGTCATTTTTCTGCTTTTTAAGTTCCGTTATTAATATACTATCAATCTACAAGTCTTTGAAAAAGTTTGTTATTTTGAAACAGAGGAGCGAACATCTTATAGCATTTTTGACATCCATGTTTTAACATACCACCACGTTTAAAAAAGCCTTGTTTTAAGCACTAGCTTTCTTTCAATTTTCTTTTTAAAACAAATAGTGTTTACATTTATTATTACAAGATAAATTTGCGTTTTTTATGTGTTTTCCTTAGTATTTTGCACTTTACTTACACATCGTTTGATTCAGTTAAGAAGCGATAAAATCTTTATTACATAAATGAAATCATATAAATGAGATCCATATGATGTGTGCTATGTTAAAGATGATAAAATAGCTGTAACTTTGAATTTTTTTTCAATCTAGAGACAATGATTATTGTAGACAATAGTAAAAGGACTGTAAAATAATTTTTTCTGCCGTTTAACCCTAATCGTCTTAGATCCAAGATTTGAATATTCATGAAGATTTATAATCGCGTTATTTTTGGACTGGTTGGTTTACAGTATCAAAACCAAACCTCTGACTCCTACTGAGTCCCATCATAAATGCTAGTGATGGTAATATATTTGTTATCAGCGAAACACGAACAAGAAGATTTTTTATCCTGAATTGAAAAAAAATATGTCATCAGAATACCTAAAAGTTATTTGTGTTCACCGTGTTTATTGATTAAAGTGAGATTCATGGTACCAACCTTAAGTTAAAAAACAGTTTGCAGAATGGCTGGCAAACTGTGTGGACACATACACACGCCAACCTTTTTATCGAGGTCGACTTGCTGTAGACAGGAATGGATTTACTCATAATGCTTCCAACAGGGTAGTGGTAAAATTAAGAAAACTATGTGTGAGGAGACGGAATCTATAGACCTTTGTCAATAGATATTAAAAGAGATATAACTGAAATTTCTTTAGTTGCTACAACAGTTTGTAACACAAATAGTGTGTTAATTTTCAAATTAGGATTTAAAGAATGAACTTTTTAATGTAATTCATAATTTACTAAATTCTAAATTAGAAAGCTTTAAAAAATTTCTGGAATTGTTTTTTGAATAGGCCTTTGATTTAAAAAAAAAACGATAGAACATGCGTGTAAAATTTTCTACTGTCGCCTTTTTGATTGATATTGAATTCTAGGTGAACAGTCTTAAATATCATGGTATAACTAAAAGTATCACATGAACTTAACAATATCAAGGTTCCATGGAAGAGGACAAGTCAAGATGATTCCTGTCAGATGGACTTTTTTTTACCATACACTCATATCGAAAAGAGTTGCAAAGTTGATTATAAAATCTGAGAAACGGAACTAATCACGAAAATTCTAAAGCAGTCACTGACACATAGGTGTTTCACATTTGAAAGGCAAAAAGGCGTTAGAACATGTTGTAATTATGGTGTAATGGTGTATAATGCATATTCTAATTGTGTTAACGACTTTCAGCATTTTTGGTTCCTTTACGGTTAGAGGTGCTCTAAGTCTGAAACTGATGAGGATATTGGAATCGTTCTTTTGCCTGGGATCAAACATGGCCTCATTTCAGACACTTTATCAAGAGCATCCGATACTTTATAAACTAAATAGCTGTTTCCGTATGTTGAAGCACTTGCAGATTCGGAATCGTCAATAGAACCGCCAACGATAACAAATGCAGCTAATCCCGTGTCCACATCTTCTCCAACACAAACAATGGCTCCACTATCGCCCTCTTCTGCAAATTTTTTAGTATCTACCGTTAGACACAAAAGAGAGCCTTCATCCTCAAATCCAACACACTTGCCTTTTCTTAAATAAGGTGTTGTTGCGCCCCATTTATAAACATTTCGCTCTAAAATTTCTGACAAGTCCCCTTTGAATATTCGACCGGAAATGAAATAACCGCCAGTCGTTTTTAGACCAAATGTGCAGGTTAAGGTTCTTTCTGGAGACACCTGAACTACCGAAAAATCCATGTAAGGGTTTTGTTGGTCGTTTTCATTGCCCTCTGATTGGTAAATAAAAACGTTTTGACCTAGTTTTGAATTGTCATCTGGCGAATATGCATGCTCTTCTTTCCCAATCACATGTGCACAAGTAGTAAAGAAATATGTTCCATTTTTGTCCTCAAGAAACATTCCGAGCGATCCGTATTGTCTAGGCTTATCAGTTCGCGTCGCAATCTTTTTTTTATTAATTTTACTTCCTTGTTCGAGTTTCGAGAATAAAGTGATTTTGCGTTCTTTATATTCAATTTGCAGCTGGTACTTCCCAGGAGGGTCATTAAGATATTTCTTTACATAATTGGAAACAGATGTCTTCTCATTTTCATCATTATTTTTCATGTAAATGCGTATATTGTTTCCAACACATCCAAACCCTTTAGTGAGTACATTTCTGGAAAAAAAAGAGTTGAAAGTTATAGTGAGAGTAAAACAATTGTCGAATGTCTTGGTCATCTGAAAACAATGTGACAGGTGTAACAAGCAAAGGATGGGAAATCCTGTATATTTAGTTTTTAATATTGATATTATTACTTTTAATTATCAAATATTCAAATGTTCGTGTACATTGTGTACTCTAATGATTTTTTTTATGAAATCTTAGAATAAAGGAAATGAAAAGAATAAATTCCCTGATGCAAGCCTCAGAACATAGAGAGTTTGTGATTTTGGGTTTACTAAAAGATATTGATATACTAAAAATGTAGATTGTTTTATTGTAACCCGACTTCGTCGATTATAATTCATATAATGCCACGCAAAAAGCATTTGATCTCCCTACATTATAATTTTATTTTCAGCACTGGTTAAAACATTAAACAGTTTTTATCCTTTTATTTGTTTACCATTAAAAAATTAATTGTCTAAAGTATATACCTCATCGCTATTGTTTTCCACTCATGAATATTTAAGCTGTTGACCCTCCTTGACCGTTCATCTGAAATTATCTGCAAAAAGTCTTCTAGATCTTTGGTACATCTTTTGAAAAAATTAAGCAGCTCCGTATAAACATCTTTTGCTATCTCTTTGTAATAGTTTCTAACAAGAATATTGCTACACATTGTCAAACAATAGTGTGTTCTACCCATCTTTGTTTCTAATTCTTGTGATGACGGTGAGACTTCGGCTACTGAACGTTCTTTTGTCATACTTCGTGTAAGTGTCGTATATGCAGCCTTTGTTGTGCGTCCATACAGTTTATGGTACACTTTTCTCGAAAATAATTTTCTTTTCTTAAGAATAATATCAAGTCTAGCCTTAATATTTTTATCGAGGTGGCAAATTGTGCGGCCTTTTGAAAGCTTTCCTCCCACGAGTAAGTATTTACTTTCAATTTCCTTTGTTAAAAGCTTACTTAAATCTCTTATATGTACACGATTTGATCTCTGTGATGCCAAATTGCATATTTCAAAATCAGAATTTGAAATGAATTTCTCAAAACAGTTGATATTAGCATTTTTTTTCTGTACTAAATCTGTCATTTTATATTTAATTGAGTCATTAAAAAAGTTCACCTCTTCATGAACTCTTTTCAAAATACGAGTAAGACTATCAAGCAAGCACGCTCCAATACGAACTTGAAGTTGGTCGTCTTGTGATAAAAATATCTTTTTGAATATCTCATTCTTTTTAATCTTTCCACTGGTCTTCAAGTTTATTTCATCGCTTAATGTCTCGAGATCTTCTATATTGTATTTTGAGTTGTCTTCAGGGGCTTTAACAAGGTACACTACATTTGCAGGATGTTTAGTGACGTCGTCTACAATGTGTATCAGTTTATAGTCCTACAAAGATATCGAAGGAATATATTTTATATTAGCATTTACCATATACCTAAACATACGTTATAAGAATTATGACCGATAATGATTTAATTCGAGAGAAAACAACTGAAAAGGTCATAGGAAATTATCAGCCTCACGTTGGAGGTTAAGCTAGATATAAAAACAGGTTTAATCCACCATTGTCTTCGGAAAATTCCATTACCAAGTCAGGAATATGACAGTTTTTTTTCCTTTCGGTCTTTTGATTGATAAAGTTTAACGTTTAATTTTGTCAGTTTTTATCGACTTCCCGTTTTTAAACTTACCTTGGTGTTTGGTATTTTTGTTAATACGTTTTTATATTACAAATACTAGAACATGAACAGCGATTATTTGGTTGTTTTTCTCGGAGAAACAAAGAGGTTTTAACACGGAGGAAAAGTTCACACTTTATTTCACGTTAAAAACGATCCCTAGAACATGTTACAGGGCTTGCTTTTTGTAAATGTGCTTGAGAAATCGCTAGTGTGTAAATATCAAAATTATGTATAACATATAATAAATTTCAATATCAAATGGTATTATTTCTTCTGTGTTTTTAGTATTTTTCGTTTTGCATTAATTTCCGTAGATTTCATCGGTATAGTGGAACCACAAAATTAAGTGTTTAACAAATATCATAAACATATAGATTAAATAAAAATAAGAAGATGTGCTATGATTGACAACTATCCACCAAATATAAAATGACGTAGAAGTCAGCACCAATATATTTCACGAGTGAACCAATATTGATCTGAAACGGTCGTTTTGATCTGAACAACTCTCAAAAGACTTACCATTAAACTGTTAAGTAATTTCCAGACTTATTCACTACGGTTATTTCAGTAATCCTAGAGACAATTTGCTTGCAGTCAATTAAAATCTGTTCAGTCTATGTTCATTCTATATTCAGTAGTTGTCTTTTACATGTACACATCAACAGTTGTCTGAAAAGCTACTGAACAGTACTGAATTGACTACAAGCGAATTGTCTGAACAGCACTGAATTTACCGCAGGGGAGGGGTATGAAAATTGACCGAAAGACTGAAAAGTGATGCTCAGATCAAAATGACCATTTAAGATTAAAATCATCTACTATATCGCCGTTTGACATTCAACAATGAGCAAAATCCATACTGCATAGCAAGCAGACTTCTACAAAACCACAAAATCACGATTACATGAAATTTGCAGCACAAGAATAAATGATTCCACAGTATCTAGAAATTTGCGAAAAGTGTATGATTAGACGAGGACACTGAACCTGCAACTCAAATGTTCGGATAAAAAATAATGGGCGCTCTCAAAATTATCAATAATTTTGTTATCATGTGTTATCTTGTGTTATTTGTTCATCATTTAGAAGGATATGATAATGAACTTATCTGGGTTTGACTGAATAAGTACGTGTCACTTTGAATGTTTATTCAAATGATACCTTATATATAACTATACACTTTTCGTTTAATAACCATGTTATCGGACGGACTAATATTCTTTTTGTATTAACTCCAGGTGTCTAGATGGAAGGAACGACAATTGTTTACTGATTTAAGATATTATATACTGTGAAAGTACTTAGTGGGTATCAATTTTCGTGGATTGAGCAAAAGTTGCATGTTCGTGGGTTCTTAGATTCGTGGATTTTCGTGTTTTAAAAAAAAATTCAGGTGAAGACCCCATCTGAAACGAAGATTCTTGAAAATAATCATATGTTGTTCATTTTCACTTACATTTTCGTCTTTCATTTCTGATAACATTCATTAAATTTTTTAATAAAATAATTCCTTTCAGAAATAAGCTGATTATTCATCTCTGAATACAAATGGTCTTATTGAAGGAAATTGCAGAGTAAACATTTTAATTGTTGCACATATGTAATCAGAAGTGGTGACACTAATTAACCCGAGATCGAACAATCAACAGATTAACGATCATCAAGATTGGGCCATAAACATGTCATTTAAAGAACAGGGTTGCACAAGAAATGCTACAAATGTAATTTGAATTAGAAAAGAAAGCCCAATAAGAAGTTATAATTTATAGTGAGAAATATGAGTAGATAAAATGAACACTTCATCATCATATATCTTCAACGGAAGTCTGACTTTCATCTTTCAAAACTATTTTTTTCATGAGAATAAAAAGGTTAAAAGTAGTACAACTTATGTTAATTAAAGATTAAAATCCAACTGAAGTTTTACATGCTATACTGGTGCTACTACACTGCATATAGTTCATAATGCGTTTGCTGATATTCAATGTTTTCTCTAGATAACTATGATTTGCCCGTATCTATGTAATCAAACCTACAGGGGATCTTTCCATGTGTTTTTTTGGACAACACTCGTAATATTTCGTTGGACACTTAAATTCGTGGATAAAGCCTCCCACGAATACATTTGTTGTACCACGAAAATTGGTACCCCACGAATAAAAGTACTTTCACAGTAATTGAAATAGATACACCAAGAAAAAAAACATAAGGGAGTCGCCAGTGTCAAGAACGGAAGAAACGACATTAGTTTACTGATTTAATTAACTCGAAATATATTTGGAACATATCAACCAAGACAAAAAAAAGGGAGTCGCAGGTGTCTAGAGCGGAAAGAACAACATAAGTTTACGAGTATAAAAGAAAATTTGAAAACATGTGTGAATGTATCCACCCCAAAAATAAATCATAAGAGATTCGCATTTGTCTACAACGGAAGGTACTACATAAGTGTACTGATATAATGAACTCGAAAATATATTTGGAATATATCCACCAAGACAAAAAACCTAAGAGAGTCGCATCAATTTCTGCGGGAAGAGACCAGGAGAGTCAACATGGTAAGTTTATCCTGCTATGCAAGCAGGGACCTACATGTGGATCCAGAGTTTATCAAACCAATCACGAAAGATATGGGGTAAATCTTTAGATCGGACGACAATTCTGGCGTTAGATGTATGACCTTAATATTAAAGCAGATTTGTCATTTTGATTTAAATGGGCATTATCTACGAGATAAGATAAAAAATAAAATATGATATTTTTTTGTTGAATCATTAATGAAAGTGCAAAAGTGAAATAACAATTTGCTTCTTACTAACATAAGAAACATTGCTCTTGCAAGTGAATAATTCGACCTCATTGAATCCGTATTCATGTAACCTTCAATTTAACCCCATTCGCCTGAGATGGGTCATGCATGTATTCAACTATTAATAGGAAAAGAGTATCAACATTGAAAGTGAAACAAGGATGAACCATTTGGTTGACTGATTCGATCTACAACAAAATCATTCTTATACAGGTAAAAACGATGATGAACATTCTTTTAACCTACAATATGAAATCAAACACACCTAGAAAAATCCAATTGCACGCGGTCATTTTCTATTTATATTTCTTTTTATCAGGCGGATACCCACTTGAAATTAAACAAAAGAAATGGAACTCTTTGTTAGAGAAGGTAAACAAGCAAAATTGGTATATTTGAATTGTTTACCTCTGTTTTTATAGGCTTTAAAAGTTTAATAAATGTGCATAATTTAAGATTTAATGCATCTTATATACGTGTTTTTACTTAAATTATAGTATGGAGCTTCGAGATATTTGTAGCCTTTTAAATTATAGACACATTTTCATAAAACAGTCGATTGTGGTAGATGCAAACACAAGTGGATCTTTTTTTGTGCATAAGCATAAATTATGCCGAAAAAAATTACACAGAAAGATATTAGATTGATCTTTTTAAAGCATTAATTTGCATCTCTGCCCCCGGCGACAGTTTTTTGGGGAAAAATCCTAAAAATTGGCAATAATTTCATCGAAAAGAGAAAGTCGAGTGCACCTTTTTATGTTCTGGTGTGTTTGAGTTGACTATTCTGTCTTGTAAACGTATAAAGCAAAAAACATCATCTCGCTTCAGATTCTATTATTTTTTATATTAAGGATACAGTTTGATTTAATAACATTTAAAATTCACAGTACTAAAAAATGAAATATATGGGTCAAGTGAAATACCTTTCTAATGAGTCATGACAACAGAGTAGGTGTGTTCGAATAACAAATTTTTACTAAAATTACTTTACGACAGACTTTACAAGTGGATCTTAAAAATGCATAACTTCAAAAAAACTTCATTTTTTGTGCGTGTTATCTAGGGTTATTAGTCTTCAACCTCTGAAAATTTTTAGTCTGCCCTTCCACAAAATATTTAATTTTTTTTTTAATTTTAACTTTCGAAAATTCCACCTGACAATCGATTAGACAATAGTTTTTAAGTTGACTAAATGCAGAAAAGTACAATTAATGATGCTCAATAGATAGTAGATAAATTTGTCTTTTAAAATACAACTAGCATATAAGGATTGTAATGGCGCTATGTGGATAAATTTATCTGTTTTCAAGAGTTAAATTGGCAGCGCGTCATCCCTACAATGGCTTCCATTTTACGATTGTAAAAATTAACTGGCGTAATGGGGAGATAATTTTGACGAAGTAGAATCCTGACTGTTATGTTTATATCAATTTAAATGACCGTCGGCATTCTTTGGAGGTCATCTCGAGGGTTAATTAGATGACGTCTAGATAAAAATACACACGATATATTACCGAGTTCAGGCACTATCAGGTGTTTATTTTAAACTGTTTGTAATTTGGATATACGTTTCAGTGTGTTATTAATCAAATGTTAGAATTTGAGTCAATTCAGTCATGAATTTGACAGCTAATGTCCATTTAAGATAAAGAATATTATATAAATGTCGAATTGAGAATTTTTTTTTTTTAACTAAAGCAAATGCAAATTGTATAAATACGTTTCATTTTAGGATCACCTAAGAACATCGGATACATAAATACAAAACTTCAAAAGAAAAAAATCACATATCAAGCTCGGGTCGAAAATTTGTTTATAATGTTACGCCTGTGACAGAAGAGTGATGCGTTCATCAGAACTGTATTTTTTGTCTCTTATTTGATCAAACATGACAATACATTCCTACATTACGCTAATAAAAAGGAAAATGCCCAGTGCCTGTCATCCAACATATGCAAAAATGAAATTGTATATGAACCCCCCTTATCAATTACATATACTGTGTCGTTGGTGAATTTTTCAAGTTGTTACCATTCTTGTTAACTGGAAATAAGATACAGGGTTACAAATTTGAATATAAAACTTTGATTTAAAATGTGACAGAACTGTTCCTTAGCAAGTCAAAAACTAAAAAGATTTCCGAAGGTATTGATGCAAAAAATTACTTTTAGCCAATGTTTACTGTTATCGATGACCTTTTGAAATTTGTTTTTATTAGTTGTTGTTGCGGATTTGTACTTATAGACTATGTGTTCATTCTTTTTAAAAAAAATCTTATAAAAATTCAATTTAAGTTACTAGTATACATTTAAAATATCCTTTATTGTTTTTTGTTTGTTCTGAATATGTATGAAATAATTGACACTGGAATTAAAACAACACTATAAGTGACTTCCAAGAAATTTCAATTAAATGCAAATATATATTATTGATTCATTAGCCATTCGATTTTTGTTACCATCTGTATAAAAGAGGGGCGAAAGATACCAGAGGGACATTCAAACTCATCAATCAAAAATAAACTGACAACGCCATGGCTAAAAAAGAAAAAAGACAAACAGACAAACAATAGTACACAAAACACAACATAGAAAACTAAAGACTAAGCAACACGAACCCCACCAAAAACTAGGGGTGATCTCAGTTGCTCCGGAAGGGTAAGCAGATCCTGCTCCACATGTGGCACCCGTCGTGTTGCTAATGTGAGTACAATACTAACTTAGTAAATAGTCTATATCGGTAGGTCACATTCGTGAAAAGGGAACGGGATTGTAAATCGTTTGCCAGTACGTTGATAGTTGTATGGACGATTTATGTTATTTCTAGGAAATTTCAGTTAAATGCTAATATTTATTATCAATTCATCAGTCATTTGATTGTTTTACTATCTGCTTAACCAGTTTACCAGTGCGTTGATTATTGTATGGACGAGTTTAGTTACAACACAGATAAAGATTAAAACGGGCACAAGTACTCAAAATATGATAGATCTTTAATTCATACATTTGTTCGGACTAGTTTATTATACTCATTTCCCCCTTTTCTAAAGCTTGTATTCACATTCGACTATGAATAGCCGACCACACGGTGTGGATTTTTCTCATCGTTGAAGGCCGTATGGTTGCCTATAATTGCTTACATCCACTCCATTTGAACTTTGGTGGATAGTTGTCTCATTGGCAATCATACCACATCTCCTTATTTTTATAATAAACAGTAGACCGTATTATTTGCAGATCTAACATTGATTGTACTATATTCAAAGTTAACTTGTACATACTATTGGTTTGTTTATCCTATTTCATTATATCTCCTAAAATAAGTTTGATTTAACATACTTTTCTAAAACGTATGGTATCTATTTCTTACTTTAGTTTCAATTTAAAATGTATTTTCATCATCATGTTATTGTATGTAAGGATAACTTTTGAATCACTTTTGAAAGCCAAGTGACAGCGAGACAAATTGCCTCAATAAAAGAATAAATTGATTTGGCATTATTGTCAATTACAGAGACCAAAGGATAAGGAAAAAAACAAATAAAGGTCATTGTTTGTCCTTCAACAATGAGCGAAGCCAATATCGTATAGAAGGCTTTGAATACCGCATTTCTTTGGATTTCATTTTTGGTCGGTTTGTGAGATTTTGTTTTTCTGTATGTATTGATTCTGTCTGGCAAGGGCTTGAAATTACCGTTGTCCTGAAAACCTGACGATATTTTTTTTTCAAAACCATTCACCTATTGGTATGCTAATGTGTGTATGTCTTTGGAGTAGACATGAAATATATACTATTTTGCGTTAGCTTTTCATAATGACTTATAAACGATTTAGACTTTATCACTTTGTATCTTCTTTCTATTTTGTAATATTTGAAGTGACGGTGAATACATGACAAATCATTTAATATAAAAGATGAAAGATATATCAATGTAACAGGTAATGTTTCATTATGATTCAAACTATATAAACAAATAGTTAGTTTATAGTTAAAACTTACTTTCTCACTGAGGCAACATATCCCCTGTTTTCTTGTTGGGCTCAATAAAACTACCACAACCTTGGGTTTGGTATAATCTTCAAACATCTTAATACTCTTTTTAAAAGAGACAATTTTACATTGATTGTGACAACCAACTATAAAATCAAAACTATCAACATGCGAAAAAGTCAATACGCTTATGTGAGGCTTACGAAAAATGCTACCAATCTCGTTAATGCTTGTTATTTTCTTGAACTTCTTAGCAAGCTGTTCATTAAACGACTTCTGTGTCAGCCAAAGACACGTGAAAGCTTCGGAATCAACCTCTAGTTCATAACAGGTAGCCATATTTGTTGATCAACTGTTAACAATTTCTCCAATAGATTTTCCAATGTCTATTTTGAATTATTAATGTTTATCCAAGCACTTCCGTGTTGTAGTTGAATTATTGTTTTCTTTTTGTGCCTTATGTCCTGTCCTACATTATATTACATCTGGTATTAATTATATTTTTAAAAATAAAAAAGATTAACCGAAGTAAGAAGTAAGTAATAAGCTACTTTTACTTCAAATAGGTGCATTCAACAAATTTACTGTACCTTGACTATCAAATAAAAGTATACTTTATCCTCATGAATCATAAACCCTAAGGTATTGGATTTTAAATTCGGGTATAATTTCTTTCATTATAATGACGTCATTCAGTCTAAATATCAATCGTGTCTTCAGGTACAGCAAATAAACATTATACAAAATTGAGACATAATCATTAAAAGATGTTAAACTTGGTATAAAAATGTTCACAATGATCAATAAATTAATGTCAGAATTCTGTTGATTGGTTTACGCATAGAACCTTTGATAACTTTTTATCTCAAAAACAATCTTACTGTGTAAATTTCAATCCGGTTTGAACAATCATTTAACATGTTTTATTTTTCATTAAATGAAAGGTATCATTTGTAATTCAATATACTGTAATCAATTTCAGGTATATTTGAATAGGATTGAATTGCGTGTTAAATCAGTTAACGAATCAATATTCCTGGTGTACTATCTTTGATTCATTTTCTATTGTCTATATGAATAACCGGAACACGCCGATTCTCTGCATATATTATAAAAAGTTAGTCAAGAGAGTTGGATACATATTAAAGAAAAAAATCAATTGACATGCAGTAAAAATAAAGATCATGCAGATACAATAAGAAGACCACACGTTATACATCATTCCTTTGATATCTGTATGAACTAGTTATACGTTATCCCTTCGATATTTGTATGCTATGTTGATTCGTCATGTTTTACATATCTGTACGAATTATTAAAATACGTCATTCCTTTGATATATGCAAGAGCTATTGAACGTTTTTCCTTAAAGCTATCAATACGTCATTACTTTGATATCCGTATTAGCTTATGAAATGTCTTCCCTTTAATACCTGTATTAGCTTTCAATCAGTCATTCTTTTGATATTTAAATGAGGTATAGATACGTGTATACGTCATTCATTTGATATCTGAATGAGCAATTATCTTTACGGCATTCCTTTGATATCTGAATGAACTATAGATACGTCATTCATTTGATATCTGTATGAGCTATTAATAAGTCATTCACTTGATATCTGGATGAGCTATTAATAAGTCATTCACTTGATATCTGTATGAGCTAACACGTCATCAATTTAATATCAGTATTCGCTTTATATACATCATTTCTTTGATATCTTTATTAGTTTACCATTAAAGGTATTGATGCAATCAACATCAGCAACGTTCTACATCACAAGGAGGTAACATCTAAAATTCCACTTTATTTCTAAAATCAGTCTGTTCCTATTGTATCCTAAACAGTTACACCAAAACAATTGCATCCAAAGTATTTAACTATAAACAAGCATAGCAGAACCTTGATTTAAAACAATACCTAAAAAACCCTCTGACATTTGACTGTTCCCACTCGCCTTAAATTTACAGCCCCTCAGGCCATGTTATTACTTGGGATCTAAACATTATTCAACATGGACATCTCCGAAAGGTGATATCTCATGGTCCTAAGTTTTGAGAATCCCAACACATCAATTGAAATCATAACTTCAAAATAATTACGGATTCCATTGCCAAGCATGGGCTAAACGAGAAGAAGTTGAACTGGACACCTTGTAAGAAAAGGTCAAAACAAGCAGGTCTCTGATAAAACGTCGCATTCATAAGTTGAAATGAATGATCGACCAAAGTCCGTTTTCATAGACAAAGAGGCTGTGAAATGTCTATCATATCTTCACGTTAAGTAGGTTGTTGTTCCTGCGGACACAGCTTCAAATAATATTGTCTTTGTATGTAAATCGTACTACTACAAGTGTCTTGTAAAAGAACATATCATTTGACAAGGATGAGATTTTGGCGAATCATAAGTCCTTCATGGCTTCAATAAACATTACATTGAACAGCAAATTGGAGGACTTACATTGTTTGTATTGGATACCTAAGCTTCCCAAAGTTCCGTACAAACAACGGTACATTGCCGGCTCATCTGCATGTTCGACAAAAGAATTGTCAATTAGATTGACAAAAATTCTGTCCGCAGTGAAAGAGGGTCTTCAGAAATATGTGGATTCTAAAAAACTCTAAAGAACTTCTGGATAATTTTATATCTCGATCTTTTTCTGAAATAAGTTCTATCATTACTTTTGATTTTTCAACCCTGTATACCACCATTCCCCATGTGAAATTGAAAAATTGTCTAAAAGAAATAATCCACAAGGCTTTTCAACATGAAATGGTAGCATACGATATAAATTTATTACTTTGGGAAACCATACGGCATATTTTGTGAATAGTGAACAAAAATGTAAAACATGCTACACAGAGGGACAAGTGATCAGTATGCTGGAGTTTCTTATTGACAACAAATTTGTTGAATTTGGAGGTAGACTTTTTCAACAAATTGTCGGCATTCCTTTGGGAACGAACTGTGCGCCTCTACTTGCCGACCTCTTCTTATTTTCATATGAGTCGGAGTTCCTTCAGACACTTGTCAAAAACAAGAAGATCAAAGACGCCAGATCATTTAATTTTACATTCAGATATATTGATGATGTTCTTTCAATTAACAATCTAAACTTTTCTGATTGGGTTCCAATACTATATCCCCCAGAACTAGAAATTATAGAAACAACAGACACGGCTTCCTTTGCCTCATTTTTAGACTTATACTTCGAATTTGACATATGCGGTCGTCTCAGTACCAGAATCTATGACAAACGAGACGATTTTAATTTTGAAATTATCAATTTCACCCGCCTTAGTAGCAATATTCCAACTTCACCTGCATATGGGATATACATTTCCCAACTTATTCGGTATTCAAGAGCTTGTAACTGCTACTCAGACTTTGTAAAACGTCACCAGTGTTTGAGCAGAAATTTGATGAACCAGGGGTATGTCAAAGAACGTCTCGTCCTTTTTTCTAAAAAAAGTTCATCGGAATGTACAAAGACCTTGTCGATAAATATTCCGTATCAACTTCACAAATAATACACGATGGTCTTGAAGTATATATTCTGGGTACTGACGTTGTTTATCATCCTAATAACGTGTTATAGTATTCTTTTATTTGTCTTTGTGAATATTACTTTTACTGTTCAATCTTTTTTTGTGATATCCATTTGACGTGGCTCGGTACTTATATATCCCGTCATTGTGTTATTGTGCTATGGTAAATTTTTGTATTCTTGTCTTTCATTTTTGCTAATGTGCTTTGTCTTTATGCCTTTTTGTGTTTCTTCGTTGACATATGTGATTGTTTCTATAGTGATTAAGATTATAACACAATGTTGACTGCTGTACCTCTATTTTTAACATTTTAACCTATTATGTCTGTTTGTGTTGTTCACACATCGTTGTCAATATAATGGAATTTTATGCGACTGTCATACAATTTAGAGGTTTAGCTAGCTATAAAACCAGGTTTAATCCACCATTTTCTACATAAGAAAATGTCTGTACCAAGTCAGGAATATGACAGTTGTTATCCATTCGTTTGATGTGTTTGAGCTTTTGATTTTGCCCTTTCATTAGGGACTTTCCGTTTTGAACTTTCCACGGAGTTCGGTATTTTTGTTATTTTACCTTTTAGCTATTTTTGCGTCATTCTGTTTATAACTGTATGCAATTAGTAAGTCATCATAATGCTTTCACTACGATCCGGACCCAATTCGAGGCGTCCCACGTTGTCAGTCCCCAGGTCGATTCACCCCTACATTTAAAGTGGATCCGACCCACATTTCAAAAAAGAAATATTTGCAAGGGATAAAGATTATATATTTTTGACAAATGTTAATGAATTTTATGAACAACAGCAAAGGTGAACGATAAAAAATTATGCTTTTGACGCATATTCAAATATTTTTTATCAAAGGAGACATTTATTCGAATATTGTTTTTCTGAATATTTTAAAGGGGCATTAGCTGTCAAATCATGTTCACCGATTTGACTAAAATTTTCATATTTGATTTATAACATGATAAAACGTATATCTAGATTATAAAAAGTCTAAAATAACCAATTTACAATGCATATGCTTGATAATATGTATCAGCATTTCGTGTGTATTTTATTCTAGACGCCATCTAATCAACCATTGAGGTGACTCCGAAAACTACCGACGGTCATATAACCCGATATAAACATAAACATAAACTCGTGCAATTGGATTTTTCTAGGTCTGTTTGATTTCATATTAAAGGTTAAAATATATGCCAATCGTGATTTTTACCTGTATAAGAATTAGTTTTTGTGGATCAAATCAGTCAAGCAAATGATTTACCTTTGTTTCACTTTCAATGTTGACATTCTTTTCCTTTAAATAACTGAACACGCATAATTCTTGCGTAACCCATCTCTAGATAGGGGTTAAATTGAAGTTCACATGAATACGGATTCAATGAGGTCTAATTATTCACTTGCAAGTGATTAATTCATCAGCCATGTTTCTTAGCTAATTTTGCCAAATGGAACAAAACTGCTGCTAAAGCGAATTATTATTTCACTATTTCACTTTCATCAATGATTGAACAAAAAATTAATTTTTTTTTTTTTCAAATCTCGTAGCTAGTGCCCCTTTAAATGTTTATATTAAACTTTCATATCAAAGTATATTATTTTTGAATGTAAAGGTATTTACATTAAAATCATTTTATCACCTTTAATGAGTAGGGATGGTGTACAGTATATAGCATTTATGTTGATTACGATTTTAATTGTAGTTATTATCAAAATTAATACAATAAAACATATATAACAGAAGTTAGTACAATCATGAGTCAACATTAATCAGCAAAATATATTTGACTTTGAGATTATTAATATTTGTAACTGGTGCAACAATAATGGGTTATACACAAACTAATCTCGAAGCTAATGCACACATTTTTTTCCTTACAAGTTGTAAACTACTCAAATTGAGAAATATTGTTTGATTATCTGAATCCCTTCCATAAAATGTTAATTACCTGTTGTCATTGATCATCAATACTGTTATCACTTTGATAAATTTTATTAAATTGGTGTTTTCATTTTAGTCCTGTTTTATGTCGTATTGAGTCGAAGTTAAATGTATTGGCTGGAAGCGTTATCCTATTAATGTTTTGTGTTCAAATAACTTCATTGATTAACCATCATAACCGATATTACTAAAAATAAACATAATAAACTTATTAAGAAGGGAT